AGAGACTTAATCTGCTTTAAATGGCAAAGAGATTTCTGCGTTTGGAAGCCCTCCGCTTCTTCACCCGAAGAACGGCATTCATACGGCAAATATCAAGTGCATCATCATCATGGTCGTCGTCGTCATCAAGGAGCCAAAGGACAGGACAGTTTGCCAGAGAGCGGGACAAGGACGAGGCCAAAACTGCATTAACTTGCCCCCTGCTTAGAAATCGAGGAGCCAGTTCGCTCGGTAGCCTCAAAACTTGACAAATACACTGTGTAGATTATTTTTAAAGAAAAGAAACATCAACAACTCGAATTTTATGATATTAAAAAGATTATTATTATTAGTTTAAATAAGTTAAATAATAAGTAAATTATATTTTCTAACTTAAATAGTTATAGTTAAGGTCTTTTCAACAATTCGTTCAGTGCATCTGGAATGTCCTTGGCTCAAAACACAACATCGTTATTATCGCACTGAGCGCTGTAAAGTACCGAATAATCTACAGGATAATGAGCATGAATGAACGAGAACGCTTTTCGCTTCTATTTTTTTTAATTTTGTGTTTGTTTTGAATGAATATACCGAATATACTTTGAATGGTGAATGGCATTAAGAGCTGAGCGAGTTGAGGGTCTGAGACTCCGTCCTCAAGAGCACTTAAAGCGAGCTAAATCTGTTGAAAGCTTACTGAATGCCAGTTTAGAATGAAAAATAATAAAACATATTATACGAAGTTGTCAAAGCTTGTAAACGATGACAAATTTAGGGACATAAAAGGTAAAGAAGTGCAAAGGAGATACAATTTCACAAACTTCACTATGGTTATGAAAATTTTGCAAGTTTATTTAGTTGAAATACAATAACCTACATACATTGTTGACTTGTTTCTCTGCATTTAATTTAATTTTCTTTAATTAAAGCCAACACTCATGGCAATAAACAACGTGATTTCACATGACTTACCTTCTCTTCTGGCACCTAATGTCGAATGTTTTATGCCATTGAAAAGGGGCACATTCAAGTTGGAAAACCCATTTTCCGACATACCTATTTCCGGTCGTAGACTTTGCTCATGCATTTAATTTTATATTTCTCATATTTACATTGAATATTTATGGTGCAGAAGGCAGAGACACTGAGAGAGGAGAAGGACAAACTTTTTGCCATTTTGTCAACGTTTTTCAGAGTTTTTCCATATTTATTTTACTGTTTTTTGTTTTTTTTTGCAAGGACCAAACCAGAGCTAGTAGTTCATTAGTTTTCAACTGTGTTTGGCTGAAGCTATTTCTATTTTGCAGCTGCATGTGGCCAGAAACATCAGAGCATCGTTCCGGGCCATCAGGCAGGGTGCTATTCCTTTCAGGACCTGCTCCTCCTTTGGTTTTCCATTTGCCAGGCGCCTTCTGCTTTTCTCATGGCACAGTAATGTGAACAGACTGCGGCTGCTGCCTTTGGCTTTGTAATGAAAAGTTGTGGCAACTTGTTGTACGTCATGATTTGAACCCATTTCCTCCCTTCCATTGCCACCCCACTGCCTCCTGCACTTTTTTAGTTTCCGCCTGAAAGTTACACATGCTAATACAGAATGCAGTGATTTAAAGTTGAAACGGGTTCGAAATGAGACATTTCTATAAAATAATATAGTTGAAGTAGTATAAATTACCTGAGAGCTTTTTCATGGACTGAAACTATAATGTCGTACAGGTTTTACTATGAAAATATCATTATCGCTTTGTGAAGAGTATAAAGTGTGGAAAAATATGTCTGACATCCTAAGTGATTTTTCGTGTTTGCTAATCATTTTCATGTATTTCCTCGCCACACCAAAGGAAGGAACTTAGATGGCGCCATAGATATGTTAAGTACTCTGCATCCGGAAAAAATCTGACTGACGTACGCATTAAGTGTACAATAACAACAAATCAATAAGTAATGTGAATCTGACAACCTTTCCAAGGGAATTGGGGAGCATTTGCTGGGTTTACAAGCGTTTAGATACTGATACGAAAAAACAGCTTTAACTTTTCACTGGTCGATGCAAGAAGATTTTCCCTGCGAGTTCTTTGGCATTGCTTCCGAGTGGAAAAGTTTTGCCAATACTCAGTTCATTTTCCAGCATCCGCGAATGTGCATTTCTCTCTCTTAAGTCAAAAGTTATGATGTGATTCAAATAAAGTTTCCAATTGCTAGTCTTCTTCGGTTAGTTTTCGGTGTGGCATGCGAGTTCGATTTGGCCCAGAACTTTTACGGACTTTCAATACCAAATCATAAATTTCTGGCCACCGCATTGCATCATTGGGTAAATTGCTAAAGCAACAGCGGCCACTGAAATTGGGGAAACTACTCCATGTGTCGCACGTTCCCACTCTTTTCTGAACAGTTGAGGACATCAATTTACTTTTATTTTTCTCCATGTCTGTGGCTATGTTTTGGGGGCTGTGCAGAAAAGGGTTGTTTCTGAAGAAATAAAAAGTAGAGTAAAATGTAACGATAGCATGAATATCCTTTCTTTGGGGATTGACAATTTGCTTACTAAATAAAAATAAAAGGGTATAAGCTATAAATACATGTTAATTATAATTGTTAGTAAAAAAAAAACTATTCATAACTATTTATTGGATTTTCTTAATTTTTGTAACGTAAATACCATCAGTACTCTTAAGTTTGCAGGGTATTACAAAAAAGGGAAAATAACTTTCTTTCCTTTTTCCTTGCTCCCCACATCGATAAACTCAAACCTTGCTTGTCGATTCAATTCAATTGATTCAATTGGGATTGTATCGGCTTCGTTTTATGCTCGTTTTGGCCAACACATATTACGGGTTGGGTTCCGAACGCTTCTCGTTTCCCTGGACTTGGGAGCCTCTTCCCGAGTGCCTCATTTATCTGTTGGCCAAATGGTTCATGTCTCTATTTTACGTGTGTGGGGGACGTTTTTCGAAATGTAATGCTAGACGGTTGTAATTTTGTTATTTTTCAGTTTTTAGGTGCCCTTTTTATGAGCCGATAATGTTATTGGCGCTGGAATTTTATGAATCGACCATTTTTCTCTGGCCTGGTTATTTGATATTTTTCCTATGACTTGTTCAATTTGCATAAGAAATTGTGTCACGACTAGTTTCGTTACACTTCATTCCATTTCTTTTGTGCATATTTCAGCTGGCTTTCGTGGGCAAAATGGGAAGCGGACTACGCTCCGGATTGCCTGGAATTTTGGCTCACTTTGAGCTTGGCCTTTTCTTGCCGGTTCATCGTCTCCTTTCCACAGGATTCCTTTGTCTGAAGGACAAAATATTTTGCGATTTTGTGGATGGTTCCCACAGTGGTTTGGGAATAAATGGCCGTGGCATGGTATGCGGCTGGAATTTGATGTGTGTTTGATGATGGTCAGATGAAAGCTACTCGTCAGATCAGGTGGATTTTAAATTTGTTTTAAATTTTTGCATACTCAACACAAAGTTTAGTTTATATTAAACTCTTATATATTATATTTATATTAAATTACAGAAGCTACAAACTACAAATATTCAATACTTCAATTTTTGATTCAACTCATAACAAGGAGTAAAAATAGTGGTATTTAAGATTTTCGCAACAAGGGGAACCCATTGAAAAACTTTTCCCAAGAACTTTATGAAATTTTTCTCCACTTTTGCGTCTATTATTCTTAAGTAAATAACAACACGAGTCGGATACAAAAACTTTACTCGGTAGTTAACTCTTGCAGACCACAGTGCCTCACAGCAAGCCTCATGTGTGGGTGTACTTCTGTGAGCGACTGTCGGCATCGTCTGCACTTTGACAGTCGCACTGAGTTGCATTCCTGCCATTGAGCTATTTTGCTCGAGTGGCAACCGAAAGTTTCGAGCCAAAAATAAAAACTTTGCCCCGAGGAGGAAACTTCTGCGGACGGGGCTAACTTTTTGTTCTGTTTGGTGCTGCTCCGGATTAATATTTTCTTTGCCCGTCTTCAGTTTCAATTTTTTTCTGCATTCCTTGGCGTTTGCTTACTTTTTGCCTTGTTACTTATTTGTTGTTTCGCCTCCCTGGCACTTGAAATGCAATTTCTAAGAAAAATTCCTCTCAAGAGTATCAAATACACAACGGCGTGCTTTCCTTTATTTGTTTTTTCTTAGATTTGTCTAAGAACGTCATTGAACGTCAGTCAAGATTTTCACTTGAATGTATATTATAAATCAGGAAAATAACTTATCATAAATAAAATATAAATAATTTTGGAAATGGAAAAAATGATGGACTCTAAATTCTTTTGCATTTAGCTTACCTTCTAAAATATATTTTTTGGTATAACCTTGCACTACATAAAAGCTTTGTTTTTCTGGCTTAACAAACTTCTCCTCTTCAGATTCTTTCCCCCAAGAAAAACACCAACCACACCCAAAGAAGCGACATTTTAAATGGCGCACTAAATTACCGAAACACACCCACACAACATACACCAAATTTGCATGCTTACAACTTCCCCAGAAGTTCAAAGTTCGAATAGTTTATACCCGGCAATCAATCCTTCATTACGTCTTGCAACCAACGAGCAACTATCTTTTAATCTCAAATTTATCATTACCTGTTTTTAAAATCCTCTAAAATTAATCAAAGGGATGTCGCTTATTAAAACTTGTTGATGGTGAGCACTAAAACCCAACCAGATTTGGCCCTTCATGATGATCCTCTGAGCTTAACGACTAGTGGGTATAAGTGCAACTTACAGCCGAGAATACAATTTACGCCTCTCCAGGCATTTTTATGTGGTTCGCTGCTGCCGTTGGTGAAACTTTTTATAGCCCCCACAGCCCCAACGAATGCACTCTTGTTTTTGGTTTTTGGTTTTAACCACCCACATGTGTGCTGCCTGCATGAAATGTGCATTTGGTTGACAAAAGTTCTCTAACGTAATTAAAAGGGGTGCTCTTGAATTCTTAAACAGGAGGCAGGCGACTAACCGAAAAGAATACAACTTTTAAACATTACTACGATAATAAAAATAGTAATAATCAAACTCAAATTATTTTAATTATACGCATAATCAGTCTTACAGAACCAATTCAAGAAGTTTAAAGTGAAAATGTATCCTTTCTGCAGAAGAGTTGGTGTCATTCAACCTATTCATATCATTGACGAACTTTTTAAGGTCGCTGAAATTTTGGTCTCCATCATAATGGCGAACTTTGAATCCGTTCTCAAGCCATACTAAATTCGGTTCGTAGCGTAATTCGTAGTCCTTGCATATTAATTTTGCGAATTGACAGTTCAATTCAGCAAAACAAATGTTCCTCTTCAATTTCAAAGATTGGGCCAGGTCTGTCCAAATATTCTCAACTTTTCGGCAGCCAATGCAATTTGGCTCATAAAACTTAACGAAGAATATTCCACTTTTGGTGGTTTCGTAATAGTTCTCTGGTGCCAAAGAAAAAACTTTGCCAGGCGTACAGTCGTCCAGAGACCTTGGCTTTACAGCTTGGTTGGTAATTGAGGATCTGTTTTCGGATGAAGGTATTTCCGAATTAACTTTAGAAACCAGTAAAACTACTAGTAAATACAGAATGTACGAGAATTTAGGCATTGCTCTTGGCACTTTTCTCAAAGATAGTTTGATTTCTATTTGAAACTTTCCCTTTTCAAATTTTAACTATGTCCATAAACATAAAATTGAAAAATAAAAAAAAAAAACACCTTTTTGATTATAGTTTTTAATTATTAAAAAATTTGATAGACTAAGTAAGATAAGTTCGGTTTTAGAAACTTGAGGAAATGTTGGCTTACAATCTAATTTCACATGCTCAGAGTATGCAAGAATAGTTGGGTGTGTGTATGATATCCGAAAGAGTTTTAAGTAAAGTATTATGAGATCCTTTTGAGTCAGTCCTTAGTGCCACTGGTCTCCTTCGTTGAGTTTCCGGGGATCGATGTTGAGTCCCAGTTTCTCCAGCTTGCGCACCTTCCTCATTTGCTTGGTCAACCGCCGCTTGAAGTTGATCTCCTGGTTGAGATTCATGATCTCCATGGTGTCGTACTGCCGGATGTTCTTGATGGTCTGCAGAATGAGGTTGTCCGTGAGGTGCAGCTTGATGGTGGACATCTTCATGAACGGAGCATCACGTCGTCGCAGTTCCTCCCTGTATGCAAATAGGGTGTAGTGAAGCGATGGCAGCGAAGGCAGAGGACGCTCCAGTTGGGGGAAAAGTAGCTCGGCCATTGTGTAAATAGATTCGAGATGATTTGAGAGGATCTGAGTGCTGCGGAAAGATCTGTTCGCTTTGAGTGTACAGAGTGCAGTGCTGTCTGAGGTAAGATGCTTCTGATTTTTATACCTATTTTCCTGGCTACCTGCTCGGGATTTAGGAATTTTTTCGACTTTTCTGGGGAATCCTTGGCAGATGGCGCTAGATGATTTAGCTACCTGCTAGGGCAGCTGCAAGTGACGTTTTCTCTTGAGCACGCGATTAAACAGGGATTTCCTTATCCTGCAAAAATATTTTATGCAGCTCCCGTACAGTCTGACTTCAATATGTGTGTCTTAGGAAAAATGTGTTTTAAAATGTATCTCTATTTCCTGTTTTTGTTTCATAAATACTACATATTAAGAATGTTTAAAAAGCAATTTACTTGAGTTGGCAAAGCTTAAGTTCACTAGAAGTCTGGCTTGGTTCGGTGATATAATTTTAATGAGCTCGCGACCTAGAAAACAAGTGCAAGACAGGCAGAAAAAAAGGAGAGAAAGACATTTTTCCCATTCATTCCATCTCATTTTGGTGCAGTTTTACGGCCATTTGAAATTGTTCTCCTTTGAGTCCGTTTGAGCCGTGTCCTGCTGCCTGAAATCGCAATTAAAATAAATTGCATTCACTCAAAGGATTGACGACAACTAAGGGCCATGTGAGAATTGGTCAAAGGTTTAACTTGAAAAAATATTAAATAGAATTGCACTTTTGCACATTAATTAATTTTGCTGCCTGGAGAACTCTCGACAGTCAAATACAATTTAATTTCCGCGAAAAGTATTTTTTTAAATGACTAATTTGTGAAACAACATAACTTATATACATATTAGGTAAATAGTAAACATTACACATCTATTTGTTGTTTCATAAACCTTTTATTATTTAACGTGGAAATCAGGATTTCATGTAGTTTTATATAATAAATACCATTTCATTTATCATTAAAATTCGGTCATTAAATTTATGTTGATTTATATGGCGCGTTTTTCCGCGTAAACATATTGTAAATTAGTCGAACAAATGTCGCTGTTTAATTAGGCAGAATATTTCAATTACGCTGGTGTTGGTGTCACCGCCGCAGACCGAATTGAAAATTTTGTCACTGAGTAGCAAGCTCATTAAAATCGAGAATTTAATTTATAATTTATATATTTCGGGGTTTTCTGCATCATAGAATGCGGTTGGTTTGCTTATGTCATAATTTTGTCTGTGGATCATACAATTGTGGGCAAAACCATTGGAATATTTTGTGGTGGCGATGAGAACACAAATTCAACAGTTTAACAACAATGAACGAGGTGTTCCTGGGACAAGAAAAAATTAAACGTAAAAAAATATATCTTTTATGTGACAATGAAGCCCTTATTTAAGAAGTAAAAACACGGCTACGTTTTTTTTGTAGGAAACGAGTAAGTAGGGTAATTATCTTTAAAATTCCGACCCTTCATCAGCGGCCAGAAAAAATGTTAAATATTCCGATTAATTAAGGGAGCTGACAAAAGATGCAGGGCACATTGGCGGCTTCGCTCCTGTGAATGCATTTAAATTGCACGTGTTTGGAGGTTCTTTCTGTGCATGTTTGCCTGGATGTCTGTCCTCAACGCCAATGAGTCAATATTATTATGGTCGACGGTTCACGCTCTCGGTGAAATGGCAAAAGGGGAAATGGCCGCAAAGCGCTGGCAAAAATGCTTTCAATTAATTAAACACCCGAAAAGCACGGCTATAATGAGAATGCAATGTGCTGTACAAAGAGCGCCAAAAAGGGGTTGTTTGGGCGAGGGGAAACCCATATCGGGTCACTCGACCAACTCAATCAACAATGATGCCAATACACAGGACCCGCAGTACACGTCCAGAAATCCTTTTTGAAACTTTAAGCCATTAAAAGCTTTTCCAAAAAATAAATCTATTTGTAGAAAAGTTTTATTCTGCATGTTTGTCTATTAAATAAAGTAGACATATTTTTGAACTAAAATACAATATTTTTTTGTCAAGTGCAGACTGTGGCTTGCAACTCATTAATAATACAGATAATGTGTTTGCCGGCAATCATTTTTTGGTTGCATGCCGTCGCGGTGGCTCTGATTAACACCGCCAATGGTAAATGCAATGACAGACGAAAAGGCAGCGATTGGTGGGCGGGGAAAGAGGGTTTTATTCAACATTCGACAATGAAGCGATACAGGCGAATTAATGTCAATTTTGGTTATGTTTTACTTGGTTAATGGCATGTTAAGGTCTCGCCAGTTGATCGGTTTCTCAGGGAAAGTGTATCATAATTGCATGCAGATGAAAAGTAAATTGCGATGGATTTAATAAACTTACAGAGCAGTGCAGAAAGGGTTTAATGGGTTATTTATAGCTTAAGCGAATTCGGTATTGCCCGATCAATAGTTAAATAGTTTCCGAGGACACCACAAATCTAAGACGGAAATAAAAAAACCCAAGTCATGTAAAGCAACCACAACAGACTTCGCCCTATAAAAGGCAACTATTTAAGGACGAGCCTAATAGTCAGCAGACAACCGAGGACAAGATGTTGAGTAAGTTGTTTCCCCACATCAAGGAAAAGCCGTTGGAGGAAGAGGTTCAGTCGCGAGATGCCTTCATCTACTTGGATCGCTGCATGTTGTCGGTGGGATGGACAGAACCGAAAGACAAAAGGTAATCAATCAATCAAAATAAATTGAAACTCTTCCTGTTTAATTGCTGAACTTAAAGACTGAGGCTGCTCTACCACCTGTGGACATTTTTATTGGTCATAATGATTTTCATTTACCTGCCCATCTCGATGAGCGTTGAGTTAGTGAGGCGATTCAAGAGCTTCTCCGCGGGCGAGTTTCTCAGCTCACTGGAGCTCCTAGTAGACATATACGGATGTTCCATCAAGTCCGTTTGCAACATGATTGGATACAAGAAGAGGCAGGAGGCGAAGCGATTGCTGGACCGACTGGACGAGAGTTGTGTTCAGGCCGAGGAGAAGGCCATTGTGCGACGCTATGTGGCATGGGGAAACCTTTGCTACATCATGTGCCACATTTTGTACTGGAGCTTCGTGACCCTGAACTTTATATACTTTGTGCTTAATAGACGTCATGCCTGGAGTATGTACTTTCCCCTGGTGGATTCCGATCAGATGTTTCTAGCCACGAGCATTGCGGAACTAGTAATGATAACGCTGTGCGTGACCATGAACCAGTGCTCGGATGTGTGTCCTTTGGCCTACATGCTGATGGCTAGATGTCACATAATCCTTCTCAAGAAACGGCTGAGAAGTCTCCGATCGACGCCCGGAAAGGAAGAAGATGAGTACCTGGAGGAACTAACCAGCTGCATCAAGCAACATCTTTTGATAATGAAGTATTCCTGAAGAGTTTATTAAGTCAAAACGTTCGTTTATGTATACACTAATATTTAGGTATTTCAGGGCTATGGGTACCGTATTTTCGCGCACCATTTTCGTGCAGTTTCTAATTATCGGGATCATCTTGGGTCTGGCGATGATCCACATAATGTTCTTCTCAACACTTTGGACCGGAATCGTACTTTCTCTTTTTATGTTCGATGTGTGCATGCAGACGTCCCCTTTTTGCTATCTGTGCAACATGGTTTTCGACGACTGCCAGGAACTCTCCGACTGTCTGTTTCAATCGGACTGGATCACAGCAGACCGCCGATATAAGACCACTTTGGTGTACTTTCTTCACAATCTGCAACAACCTGCTATTCTTTTGGCTGGTGGAGTGTTCCCCATTGGCATGAAAACAAATTTATCAGTTCGTTTGATATTTATACACTTCAGAGCTTGGGTTAATTTATTGTTTACTTATAGATGGTCAAGTTGGCCTTCTCTGTGGTGACCATCGTTAAGCAATTCGACCTGGCCGCGCAGTTTTCATAAGAGGGAAGGCTCAAAAAATATTTAATTGTAATGTAAATGAACAAAAAACATTACAAGATCTCGACTAATAAAGCTAACTAGATTTGCATTAGACGTTTGTTTTGCTTCTTGGCTAGGGTTTTTATTTTTTCAAGCTCAGAGGCGTTCTTTAAACGCAACGATACAATAAAATGTTGAACTAGGGTTCCTAAAACCTAAATATCGATATGCCTTAATTTACTTTATATGCGGGTTGGGCCGAAATGGGTGAAAAGGGGCAAAATAAAATAGCATTTGTCCAAAATCGGACAATAAAGCGAAACAAAACGTCGATTTGATTTTACTTGGGTTTTGACATGTTAACTTCTCGTCAGTGAACTGTTTTTCTGGGAAAGTGTACATCAAAATTGAGTGTAGATAAAAAAGTTTTAAGGTTAAATTAAAATTTAAGCGAGTGAAAAACCAATGCTCAATAAATTTTTAAACAGTTTCAAACTGAATTTTACAAATCCGTCAAGTCATGTGGGACCACCACATTAGGGATTTCCATATAAAAGGCGACTATTAAAGGACGAGCTTAATAGTCAGCAGACAACCGAGGACAAGATGTTGAGCAAGTTGTTTCCCCGCATCAAGGAAAAGTCTTTGGAGGAAGAGGTTAAATCGCGAGATGCCTTTATCTACTTGGATCGCTGTATGTTGTTCATGGGCTGGACAGAACCGAATGACAAAAGGTAGTAGAAAGCAAACAATCAAAATAATTGATTATTATTTAACTTTTTAAAGATGGAGGCTGCCGTACTTCCTGTGGTCAGTTTTTTTGGTGCGCGTTGATTTATATTTACATGCCGTTCGCGATGACCGTTGAGTACGTCAGGGGATTCAAGAGTTTCTCGGCGGGCGAGTTTCTCAGTTCCTTTGAGATCGGGGTAAACGTGTACGGAAGCTCGATCAAGTGCTCTTGCATCATGCTTGGCTACAAGAAGATGCAGAAGGCGAAGCGATTGCTGGACCAACTGGACGAGAGTTGTGTTCAGGACGAGGAGAAGATCACTGTGCGTCGCTATGTGGCATTGGCAAGCTTGTGTTACATCATATATCACATTCTGTACTCAAGCTTCGTGGCATTGAACTTTTTTTACTTTCTGACCATAAGAAGCCACGCCTGGAGGATGTACTATCCTCTGGTCGACTCCGATGATATGTTTTTTCTCTCAAGCATCGCGGAGGGCATTATGATGACGGTGTGCGTGACAATGGATCAGTGCTCGGATGTGTGTCCTTTGATGTACACGCTGATGGCTCGATGCCACATAACCCTTCTCAAAAAACGGCTAAGGAATCTGCGATCGGTGTCCGAAATGACCGAAGATGAGCATTTTGTGGAACTAACCAATTGCATCAAGCAACATCGTTTGATATTGGAGTAAGACAGAAGAGTTTATTAGGTCAAACTGTATAAATTTATATACTTTAATATACTCTTACATTTAGCTATTTCAAGGCTTCGGGCTCCGTATTTTCGCGCACCGTTTTCGTGGAGTTCCTTTTGATCGGCGTAGTCTTGGGCCTCTCGATGATCAACCTAATGTTCTTTTCTACCCTTTGGACTGGATTCGTCACTTGTCTGTTTATGGTTGACGTGTGCATGGAGACGTTCCCTTTTTGTTATGTATGCAACATGATTTTCGATGATTGCCAGGAACTCTCCGACTGCGTGTTTCAATCAAATTGGGTGTCCGCAGAGCCTCGGTATAAGTCCACTATGGTGCACTTTCTTCACAACCTACAACAGCCCGTTGTTCTTCTGGCTGGAGGAGTGTTCCCCATTTGCTTGCAAACCAATTTATCTGTCGGTGGCTCATTTATTTACTGTAGAGTTTGAATTAATCAACTGATTTCTTGTAGATGGTGAAGTTGGCCTTCTCTGTGGTGACCATCATCAAGCAATTCGACCTTGCTGCAAGGTTTCAATGAAAGGCGGAAGCTAAAAAATAAATTAAATCTGTAGTAAACAATAAACATTTTTAGATCTGGTAGTGGAACAGCTAACTAAAATTTTATTTTATTTTATTTCCTTTACTTCTCGACTCTGAGTTTTTTTGCGACAACAAGGGTTAAGAATAAAAACACTATCGCGTTTCGCTTTAATTTACTCCGTTCCGCAAGCTCGACAATAAAGCGCGACTTAAAGTTGGGCCAGTAAATCTATTAAGGCCATCTCCCTCGCACATAAAGGCGCCTCGAGCGTGCTGTCTCTTTCGCGCCGCTGTCCACTTAATAAAGTGCAAACAGCCAAGTGATTATTTCACAGCTATTGTTCGAAAAGGATGCGGGTTGGGCCGCGAAGGGGTGACAGGGGATGGAAGGGGCCGAAAGGGGCGTAGTTTGGGGAGGGGCCAACAAAAGGATTGGCGTTATAGCCAAGGATGCGAAGCAGAACACCCGAAACATATAAAAGCACCAAGAACACAATAACGAGAAGCGCGAAAAAAATTGTGCAGCGCGAATAAAAAATGTAACTAAGAAAGTGTGTACAATGGAGTAAAAGAGAAAAAAAGAGGCCGAGCAGTAGAGAGATAGAGGGAAAGAGAGGGGAGATGGGTCAACTGCAGGAGAAATTTACGAGCTGCTTTATTGCACTCACCCAAACACACACACACCACTGCGGAAACGGTCACGCACCCACACACACGCAGGATATTCAGATCCCTTACACCCACTCACGCAGATTTCACTCTCACTTTCCTTTTTGCGAGTCCTTTGATACATCTTTGTTACAAATTGAAAGTCTTAAACCGTCTTTCGACAATAAAAATGTAAAACAAATAAATCAAATTAAATTTAAGTATTGAATGTTGCATATGTTTTGTTGATTTATTGGAAATTTAATATAGTTAATTTTTATACCTTCTAACCTAACTATGATAGCTTCCCTTTCCCCTCTTATCGATCAACAAACCCACGTTGGAAAGCATTATGCAAATGTTGTTGCCGAATCCCGACTAAACCTTGCAAGGTCGCTTTCCCAAAAAAAACTCACAAATTAGCGCTCATCATCAATCAAATGCCGGGTTAGCAGCTCCAGCCGAGGTCAATGGGGCGAAATGCTGACGCTAATTGCAATTTGTGGTTTCAGCCAGCTGCAAGTGGAGCGGCAGCAACCAGTCGAGATACAGTCGAGTGTATGCACAATGTACCTGCCCTATGCTCCCCTCCAAACATCGTTTGCACTCGAGAAGCCGATGATGGATTTTGGCCTTTAGTGCCGCGAAGCCGAAAAACCGCATCGACATCACAGCCATCTTCTCCCTGTTCCCGGCAAATTCGATTGAAGGAAGTTCGAGACTCTGTCGATAACCAGGTAAACTCAATCAGCGGAGCCCAGGTAGCCGACATCAGGTGTGCATATTCAAATCAGGTGCCCAGGACTCGCGTTGCGGGTTCCTGCTTAAGGACCTCGTCTGTCTCGTGTGTTTTCTTTGATCTGCGGCCTTTAAATGTTTTTCGCGGAACTCGTATAAAATATTCAACAACATTTTTCATTTGAATATTTTTATGAATCGTGCAGGTAATTTGAAGCTGGTGGATTTCGAATATGTTATTGAAGGAAATGTACCTTCATCAGGGTTAGAAATTTGAAAGGGATGTAATACCTGTAAGCATCAGTTAAAAGTTGCATATTTTTCAAATTAAATTTTGGTTTAAAATGGTTATTCTCAATATTGCCAATATTTCTGCTTATAATTTTTGTACACATTTTCAGCAAGCTGATCAAGACTCTGTCCTTTCACAAGTGACTTGCAGAAAAGCTATAAACTTATTTTAATTATTTAGCGGTGGGTACATCACATGGCTCCCATATATCTTTTCCCAGAGAAATTAGAACACCCTGAGCTGTACTTTTTACCCTGCTGGCGATAAACAGCGTTTAATACATAAATTGGAAAATACACAAGCTTACAGGCAGAAAGTGGCCAAGTCATGGCAGATGGCAAAGGAAGTCGTGACTGTGGGATCGGCTTTCGCTGACTTTGCACCTCTTTCAAGGCAAACCGAGTCCTGCTGCCATATTCAAGCAGTACTTGTGGCATTTAAGGCATGCGGCACACGCTGCGTATGAGCTATTTTCTTAAGGCAGTTGCTTCCTTTAACCTTTTGGCCTTCCTTTTGTTCCTTCTGTCTGAGTGAATGTGTGCCACGTGTGGCATGTGTAGCATGCAGTGCCTCCATTCGGCCCGTTCCTGTCTCATTGAAAGCATCTGTGAGTTATTTTTATAGAGCTACTTTATGCCCCTTTATCTGTGGATGAAAACTCGAGCCACAATAACGTGGCACAAAAATGTGCCATCTACTTGCTTGATTACCTTAATTCGTATGTATGACTAGCCTATTTTAGGAAAAGTATTTAAGAAGCCTTATCGGTATTTGGAAGAGAAATCTAAGAATAGATTTATCTTTTTGGGATTTATTATGAAACTCTCTTTAACAAGTAAAAAATGAAAACGAAGCGCTCATTTCCCCATTGAAACCGATAATCACTTCGTCCTTTTTTAGAAAAGAACCTCTAATTTATTTCTGCGCCATTATTTATAGCTTGTTACGAGTAGTAATCAAATCGCTTTTGAGAGCTTCTATCTAGACAAATTACCCGGCCACTCATCTATTTTAGTTTTTTAATTAAAGCGAGGGCTGCAGCCCCGGAAGTTGTGGGAGTGGATCGGGATGTCCCAAAACATTTGCCAGACGCATCGGACATAAATCAAGTGAACGAGAACGGCTCCGACATGGACATGGCAGGACAACAAGTCCAACAAAGCTGCTGCCCCAGACTCGATAGTCCTTTTCGCTTTTCCCATGGTCACACAGAAATTTGTGAATTGCAGTTGCCCGGAATCGGGAATCCAGGGGAGTCCTTCGGAGTGGAGACTATTCCCCCCCGAGGGCAATGGCAAAGTTTTTGGCGCAGAACTAACGAGCATCAGTGTAAACTGTCGTCGCTGTCGTCGTCGATGGTTGTTGCAGTTGCCCTTCTGGTTGTTCCTCCAGTTTCTCATTAAACTTCAAAAATTGTATACAAAGTTTCCGAAGCAGTTGGGTTAAAGGGTCATGTCGAAATGGTGCATAGCTAATCAAGGATTATGATAGGATCCCAATCAGTAATTAATTTTTTATGGCTTAATCTTAACTAGCAATAAAATACACCACCAGCGTTGCAAATTCTTAATTTTTTCTCAGTGCAAAACCCATTTATTTTTCATGTTCCAATGCCTGTGTTAGCCACATCCATGGCTCATTTAAAAGACAACGATATCCTCTCGAGCCCCAAATATTCAACTGACGTCAACTTGCTCCTTTTAGCCAAAGGATTCCCACTGGTCCAATGCCATACAATGCACCACATCCGTAAAGTTCTGGCTGGAAAAATCGCTTCAACTTTTGTTTTACGCACTATCCCTTTGTCTTCTGCAAAATATTCGCCAGAGACTCCAGCCGAAAAGTATGCAACTACACAATGCAACTAGAAATCGCAGCTGCAGGCGAAAAAGGAGACGGGTCCTTTTCCCTTCGTCCTGGGGCGTGTTGTGAGCAAACTTTTGCAACATTTATCTTCGTTATTATGACGCTCGAATGGGCTATCAGCGCAAAAGTGGAGCGGCTGCTAAATATTTGGCCAGGCGGCGGAAATGCATAAAGGCTAAACCCAGAGACGATGGGATAAGAATAAGAAGAATGTTCTTAATGCGGCGATTCAACCACTTTTCTTCTTCCTGTCTCCCAATGCGTTGTGTCTAAAAATGTTTCAAGTTGTCAAACGTGCTGAGCTTCTGGGCGACGAATTTCCGGTGATGAGAACTATTACAATCCAAAATTTTTCTTTCTTCTACAAAACGAACGCAAAAAAAAAAATATAAACATATATAGATATATATTGCTCTTATAATTTTAAACCAAATAAATATTAAGTATTTTTTTGTTATTCTCTTTTGTAGAATCCTGTCGCATCTCTGCTAGAAGTAATAACTCCCACCATCGGTGCATTCAGTAATATTGGAGCAGACAAAGCGCAGTTTCCCAGCTGCGAGAAAGGCATTGCAGCTCGGCAGTTGCAAACGGGATGGCAATGGCAACTTTTTCCTGCACTTAATTAGTTTGGGCATAAGTGGAGCAGAAAAAGTTGTTCGCCAAGATGACAGTGGGAGGCGGAGAGCCTCCAGTGGGTTTGTCAACTGTCCCCGAGTCCTTGCTGTTATCCTCCCTTTGGCTGTTTTGTGTGCGAACGCAGCCAAGGAAATTGCCTCATAAATGTTCATTACCCAAACTCTGTGTGTGCGTGTGTGTGTGTGCTTTTCGGGTATTCCGTATTTGGATGGATTTTGTATGGCGACATGTGCGCAATTTCCCCCTTTTCCCAAGCCGAAAATTACGCTGCATTCGTACAGGAAATGTGGTGCAATAAATTTTTGTTTAATTTCAGGGAAGGAAAAAAGGATTTTTACTCATTTGAACTGCCCAACATCCGTTGCTCATTTTCCGCACCACCTAAAACCTAATCAGGGCCTATTAATCATACGCACTGTTGGTCGCATTTTGCCTGACAAATTGCCCGATCCCCGGATTTTCTCACAGTGTCAAATAATGTTGGCATTTCCTGGACCTCACGACCCCAGCCTCATTCTCATTCTCCGCCACAGAGAGAGAAACACAAAAGTATCTCGCATACGCGCAGCAATTCAAAAATATTAAGTGCCGCAGTTAGGCAAGTACTTAGTGGCAACAACAGAGGCTAAAAGGGGCGGCTGAGGCGGCTAAATGCCAGTCAAACAATGTGCAAACAATGGAAACCCAGTCGAAAGAAAAGCTGAAGGCACGCCTGAAAATGAGCCCGCAAAATATGGCTCACAAATAGGCGAATCGATGGCGAGGGGAGGAGATAAAGTCGGGGAAAGTCTACAGTTGAGAAAACAGAGATGAGAGCGTGAT